AACAATTATTGTTGTAACAAGAAATAACAATCATAATAATAATAAAAATAAAAATACATGTACTGCATCTTTCATTATCAATGATCACTTTGGTACTGTTTTTGTCAAATGAAATTGCCTTTTTATGGAAATTGTATTTTAAATTGCCGTTTTCTTGTACTTACTTATAAAGCGATTGAGGGCAGTCAATCAAATTTCCCTACAATGTAAACGGTATTTTGTTGCCGTTAGCGAGATACAGGGTACCGTACATTTTTATTATAGGTTATCATCCGTTTCTTCTAACTGGAATAATCTAGAAATTCGTTGTACACCTAAAGCATGGAATTATGTAAAAATGGTTCGTATTTAATAAGGAAAGTAATATTAGGCGAAAAATTCACTTGGATAGCATATACTCTAGAACAAGCAGTTTTGAATAATTGGAAAACACTTTGAGTAAATCAATTTTACTAATAATTTACCTAGCTTACACAAGAAGATATATTTATTTTTGAAAATAATTTGTTAGTTATCATGACCAGTATTACTATATGAACAGAGAATCCCCTCCGCCTGTATTACAGGCGACCGGTTAACAGCCTGGAAGACATTAAAAGGCAGACATGTTGAATCTGGGAATATTCGGGACGCACGCTTTTTATCTAAATGTCTTCATATGGCATTAAATAAAGCTAGGTATATCTATAGGTTAGAAAATAAAGTGGACCAGCACGTTGTATATAATATGATGCATATTTAGACAGAAAGAGAGAGTTAGCATCATCTTATTACTTTAGAAACGATGACTTTATTGCAGACTGCATAGGAATATCTGATAACACACTGCGGAATAAGAAAGTCTTGAAATAAACGAATACAAGGGCCTATCGACGAAATTATATATGGATGCCATCAACACCACAACGCAATATTACACAGACTTTGAAGAAGCCAAAGCTGTCAATCAAAAGTCATCCGAAATACAAAATAATCACTCAAATATTTCATAAATTGCAGGCTGTGGAAAACAGATTAACTTTAGGCTTACTCGAAAATGCAGGCTCGACACAGAGGTACAGTAAAACATTTTTCTAAAATTAAGAGTAAACATAAAGTTGATGGAAAATTATGGTGAATCGACGAAGAAGCACCAGAATGAGTGCCGAGACATTTATTAAAACACCAGAAACTGAAAAAAATTAGCGCACAAAAAATACATACCGCACATAATTCCCCTCAGAGCTTAAGCAATAAATATTCTGCTTTCATAGAAAATGACAGAATAAACTAGTCCATGAGTTGTCGCACCACCATTGCAACAATACGTAACATATTTTAACAAACAGTAAGGATTTGATCTTACAGTACAACATTTGTTTTAGATAATTTAATCATTGACGGATAGGGGCAGATGGGGGGGGGGGGGGGGGGGGGGGGGGGGGGGGGATAGGCCTATCTCTGGATCCGCCCCTGTGAATGGTAAAATACAGTATTTTGAAGTACTATAGTTATATTGTTATAAAAAGTTAATGTTTAAAACAAATAAAAAACTTAAAATATGAATCAGGTATACTGATTTTCTTGATCACCTTAATATCCAGATCAATGCTATTAATATTGCTCATCGCTTTGGAATTGTAAGCACTGTATGATATCATTATCAAATTATAATTAGGCCCTATATTGTTGCATTAAACTGTCAGCCTCATTGTATTTACATAAATAATGGATCTTTCCACCAAGCCACGCCCCTTGGATATTGTTGCAATTAAAGGTCCCACAAAACGGCAGTGCACAAACATCGCACACACGTGTGAAAACACGTGCGTCTTAAGGACAAGTGCATATTCAGGCCCCTATCAGTATAAATTTATATTCGTTTGTATGCATTTAATATATAATTATAATATCATATTACAATTATTTGGAGTATGTTTTACACTATGTCATATTATATTTTGTGATTATATTCAACATTAGGATTATTCGTATTTTTGGATTCTGTCAATAGCATGGTTTCTGCAACCGAGTGACAATTAACTGATTTATTATCCAGAATTATTATTATCATTTATTATTTAATTTACCTTATTCCGATACATTTACATTGTTACTAACATACTTTAGTTTTGTTTATAAAAATATGATCCATGACTTTACACAAACACGTTCTCTCATCGTTAAATCAAATATGTTATCATTTATGTTATTAATAGTTTATTTACTTTTTTATAGAAATAAAATCCACAAATGTTTCTATGTTTTTTATCTTTGTTTTAGTTATGTCTTCATTTATGCTATTTGAAGTTGAAAATACATAATGTTTTAATCTACTAGTATTTTAATTTAACATTATAGGGGCCTACTGTTAAATTGTACTAGGCTTACACCAGTAAATTGGGTCGCGAGAATTATGTGTGGACGTGTAATCAGTTGTCATCAAAATACAAAAAGTTTTTCGCATACAACAGTAAGCCTACGCATGTTCGACTAGAGAAATGCATTTTTATGAGCACTGTCTTGATACACCAACAAAGAATGCTGTTAACGAATCACAATGAACAGAATAAAATGCAGAAGTGGAACTTGGCGTCACAAACGTCGGGGATAATGCTAATGCTATATGATTTATTATTGTTACTGAAGAAACAATGATCAGAATCAACACAAATACTGATATAGAGTTCGGTATTACTTGAATTATTTGCCTTAGATTGTTCACTGGTTTTAGTGAAGCCACCGGTGCCGGGGAGCCAAAACGTCACAAATACATCATCACTAAGCAAACGACCAACAATGGGACGTTCGCTGGCGTTTTTGAAACGGAAACAGGACCGGGTGCGTTGAGTGGTTAGAGGATGTAAAAAAAAAAACACCACATTTTTGTTATACAAGTATTGTATTGCAAGAATCGTTATTTTTTGAAATAATTTAAATAAATGCCATAAAAAATTTGACTAGATTGGTAAGTCACTTGGGCTCTTGCATATAGCATTGGTGGTTTCACTTTTTTCCTGTACAGTGAATGGCCAATGAGCAATCCAGCTATAATAAGAGAGATCAATGGATACACTTCAACGCACAACTAATACTAATACTCCCTCTCAAAGTGGAGCTGTGGTAAAGTCGCGGCTGAAATTATAGTAAAACAATGTATATGTTGATTTACTATGCTATTATCTTATCAGGCCCGGCCAGTGGCGTAGCTATTGGTTTTGGCGCCCGGGGGAAAGAGTAGAAAATTGCGCCCCCCTTCCCCCAATTTTTCTGCCGTGAGCAAAGTGGGCGTGGTCGAGCGTCGCTTAAAAATGTTCCGAATGTGGTATAGAGGGCAAAGCAACACTTTATGGGTTTCAAAGGCTTATTTAATACAAAATACATACAATTTTTGTTTTTCCCCCCGATGAATTATGGTTTATCTCCCCGACGAATTATGGTTTTTCTCCCCGACTAGGGGTCGAGGGGAGCTATCCTCGAAGGGACTGGCACACACCGGTCGTGCCACCCCTGTTTCTTAACTATTGAAACTGCATTACGATGTTCGGAAATTTGTATACAACTTTACCATTATCCTATTTTGTAAGGCTGCTGATCGCATACAGCTTAGTATTCTTATTGTCTTGTAAGTTGCTGAATTTGTAACATTGTTTAAACTCGCAACTGAATTTTGCGTGCTTTTGCATCTGCAAATAAGTTAATAACAAGATCAAAGTTAGCAATGTTGTCTGCTTCATCGCGCTCAATACTAAGGAGTGCCAGAGCAGATAGTCTCACTTGTCCCATCGTGGCGCTGAGATATGGCAGGATAAACTTTAGTCATGTAGTCAAAATACAGAGAAAACGGTCGAAATGGACTGAAAAGAAATCTATAAATTTGCCAATAAAAAAACAACTACATTCAGATTTTTATTATTAACTGGAAAATACATATGCCTGACGACATACATCAATTTCGTCATGCTTTTCTAAAAAGTGGTTATTTTTTTTACTCTCATTCTACCATTTCAGTGCCCCCCCCCCCAAAAAAAAACCTGGCGCCCGGGGCATGTGCTCCCCTTGTCAACCATAGCTACGCCACTGAGCCCGGCTTTTCATTGAAAAGGTTCTTTTTCTTATTGTATTAAGAAAGCGTCTCTGGCGGAATATAAATGTAATGACTATTTCATCCTCAGAGGATGGAGTATTGCAATGTTACAATAAATGATATTTATGTTTATGTTTCTCTCTTTGATGTTTGACCCCTACACATAATATTGTTTGATATGTAGAACAAAGTGCAACATACCTATAACCAATATATAGGCAAATTAATTTACTAATAAGCTACTGATAAAGCTCTACGAACTTGATAAAGATCTCACTGATTCTAATTTACAATAAATTGTGGCAAATTTCAGAATATTGTATTTTTATTTATGTATTAATTTGCCTAAATGGTTATAGGAGTGCTGGACTGTGCACAATGTTCAATGT